ATCTATTTTATATATAGTGGTATATATAATCTTCCAGTCCCACACGCATATGTGTGTATTGTTAATGTATTTAACACCTTGGTAGGAGTTGAGGGGAAAGGGGCTTTTGTGGTCCCAGGACCCCTCCCTGAAGGAGGAGACAGAGGATTACCTAGGAAGCCATTCTAAGATTAGCCCAGATCCCTCCATGGGACACTGTGTGCTCAGTCACTCAGTCGTGTCTGACTCTGAGACCCCATGGACTGTCGCCCACCAGGCTCCTCTGTCCATGGGATTCTCCAGGCAAGCATACTGGAGTGGGTTGCCATTTCCTTCTGCAGGATGCCATAGGACTCTGTTGTCCAGCACAGGAAGCTCAGAGCCCTGGGACTGGGGTTACAATGGGGTTTCTTTTTTCTTTTTCAAGCTGCTAAAATGCGTGGTAATGTTTTTTGGTGGGGGAGGGGATAGTGGTTCAGAACTGGTTCATCCTGAAGTGTCCCATCTGTGGGGACAACCACTCCCCATTACCTGAATATAGAACACCAGCAGGGGCAGCCTGGGCTTGAGGCTCTCTTTGGAGTGAAATGAAGCTGCCTCTCCAGGAAAGGAGAATTAAGTCAGAGTGTTTGCGTGGTGCCTTTTCTCTAGGCCCTTTCAGCTCCGTCTTTCATTCCTCAATGCCTGGCTGCCTGGGTGAAAACCATACAAACTATTAATAATATAAACAGGCTATTAATTATAGGAAGTATTGTAAATTATTAGTGAAGCATGCTGTGTGGACTGTGACTTATCTGTAAGGTTATATGCTGCTCAGGTCTGAAGGGAGGCCCTGGAAGGTGAGGGGTGCAGGTCAAGGGCACAGTGACCAGTCCTTGATCCATGGCACCATTTGCTGACCCCAGGCAAGAAGACCCTTAAATCCTCCTGGATTTCATCTTCCTCACAAGTAAAATGATAAGAATCATGTACTATAATTTTTTTTTAAAGAAGTGAGAGTGGGGAGAAGGAAATAGCAACCCACTCCAGTATTCTTGCCTGGGGAATCCTATGGACAGAGGAGCCTGGTGGGTTATAGTCCATGGGGTCACAAAGAGTTGGGCATGACTTTGTTACTAAATGGCAGCACAGTTGCTTTATAATGTTGTGTTAGTTTCCACTGTATAGCAAACTGAATCAGCTATATATATACACACATATCTCCCCTCTTTTTTGGATTTTCTTCCAATTTAGGTCACCACAGAGCGCTGAGTAGAGTCCCTTGTATTATACAGTAGGTTCTCGTTAGTTATTTATTTTATACATATATCTATAGTGTATATGTGTCCATCCAAACCTCCCAATTCCTTCCACCTTGCCCTTCCCCTTTTGCTATCCATATATTTGTTCGCTACATCTGTGTCTCTACTTCTGCTTTGCAAATAAAATCATCTATCAGTTCAGTTCAGTCACTCAGTCGTGTCCGACTCTTTGCGACCCCATGAATCGCAGCACGCCAGGCCTCCCTGTCCATCACCAACTCCCGGAGTTTACTCAAACTCATGTCCATCGAGTTGGTGATGCCATCCAGCCATCTCATCATCTGTCATCCCCTTTTCCTCCTGTCGCCCCCAATCCCTCCCAGCATTAGGGTGTTTTCCAATGAGTCAACTCTTTGCATGAGGTGGCCAAAGTATTGCAGTTTCAGCTTTAGCATCAGTCCTTCCAGTGAACACCCAGGACTGATCTCCTTTAGGATGGACTGGTTGGATCTCTTTGCAGTCCAAGGGACTCTCAAGAGCCTTCTCCAACACCACAGTTCAAAAGCATCAATTTTTCAGCGCTCATTTTTTTGGGCTCCAAAATCACTGCAGATGGTGATTGCAGCCATGAAATTAAAAGACGCTTACTCCTTGGAAGGAAAGTGATGACCAACCTAGATAGCATATTAAAAAGCAGAGACATTACTTTGCCAACAAGGGTCCGCCTAGTCAAGGCTATGGCTTTTCCAGTGGTCATGTATGGATGTGAGAGTTGGACTGTGAAGAAAATCATCTATACCCCACCCCCACCCCCCAAAAAAGTGAAAATCACATGAGCAGTGATTTTCTAGCAGGGAATTCAGGCTCATTTCTGGTAAAAAATGGTGCAGCTGGGTGGCCCACTCTTCACCACTGAATGAATGTTTAATGAAGCCCCACTGTATGCCAGCACTGTTCTAGGGGCTGATGATACAACAGCGAGAAAAACAAGCAGAAATCTCTTTCATCTTGTATTCTACTGTGTCGAGACTGATGATAAGGGAAATAAGTTAAATGATGTGTTAGTTGGTGATAGGTGGTATGGAGAAAAATAAAGCAAGGAAGAAGGAGAGGAAGTGCAGTGGCCAGGCCCAAAGGCCCCCCGAGAACCCCCTCAAGCGTTCATACTCTTGTGTGTTTCCCTCCACATATTCCACATTGTACCAGGGTTAGTCTATGTGACCAGCGGGATATGGCAGGAGTGATGGAATGTCACGTCTGAGATTAGGTTTCAGAAGACGGCGGCTTTCTTCTTGGGCTCGCTCCCTGGTCTCTCCCTCTAAGGGAAGCTGGTTGCCATACTGTGGGGATAGTCAGGCAGCCTATGATAAGGTCCACATGTAAGGAGCTGAGGTACCCAGGCAGAAGCTGGTGAGGAACGGGGCTTGCCAACAGACTGCAACCTCACAAGAGACTCTGAACCAGAGCTTGGAGGAAGCCGTGTCTTCACGTTCTGGAGTTGCGGATGTACTTTCTGCGTGGCTACCATCACTAGGCCCTGTGCTAAGTGCTTTGTTAGCACTTATAACTATCTCACCTAATTCTCCTAACAGCCTGATGTGGTATGCTATTATTACATCCATTTTACAGATCGAGGCTCAGAGGCTAATTCTTTAGTGCCCTAATCCTTCAGCTAGGACATATCTGAGCTGGGACTCACACTTGGGTCTCTAAGCTGCCATGATATTCCTGCCCTCCTTTGCTCTTTTCAGACAAGGCTTGTGATGCAACACTGATGCACTTTCCCCTTCCTTGTCCTCCAAGTCATTCCTAAATATTGACATTTATTGAGCTCTGTGATCCCCAGGCCATACTTGTCCCTCTGTTTCACCTCTGGAATATCAAAGGGCAGCTCAAATAGTCCAAGGATGATCGTTTATCCCACTACCAAGCAAGAATGCTGGAGTGGGTTGCCATTGCCTTCTCCAGAGGGTCTTCCCAACCCAGGGATCAAACCCAAGTGTCTTGCATTGGCAGGCAGATTCTTTCACTGCTGAACCACCAGGGAAGCCTTCATTCTGGAACTCCATCTCTGGTGCCATTGGTTGCCTCTTGTTTCTGACTGTTTTTATGTGGTTTTCTTTTGTATGATACATAACTAATTATTAAAATAATGAGAGGTGGGATCTCTCACTTCTCAGGTCTTTGATCCACAGATTATGGGGCATATTGGTCTTCCTGTTGGGAAAACAGATTTCAATCTAGGACACATACCCAAATGCCGTTAATAGCCAGGCAGCCCCTGGAATCGAGCAGCCAGGCCCCATGGAGCGCACAGCCCCCTTGGTCTGCCTTTCTATTTCCTGTTCCGCTGGAGACACAAAGATAAGCGCTATTTCACTTCTTTTAACACTGATGTGAAAGTCCCACAATAGAAGCAGGATGATAAGCAGCAACTGTCATGGGCTTTGTGCTGTGGTGATAAGTGGGGCGGGCCGGGGAGGACTGTGGCATGCTGAGAAAATGCTTGCATAAAGTGTGGCTGCAACTCAGAACGGCTGAATAATGTCCCATGGGAATGCAGGTCTACTGTGCACAGATATTCCAACAGACGATAGCAGTCTGGGTGACTTGGGTGTATGAAATTGACGATCTTTTTTGTTTTTTGAAGTATTGCTGATTTACAATATTGTGTTGTTAGTTTCAGGTGTGCAGGAAAGTGATTCAATTATATATGTAATTTTTCAGATTGTTTTCCATTATAGATTATTACAAGATATTGAATATAGTTCCCTGTGCTATACAGTAAATCCTTGTTTATATTATGTACAGGTATCTGTTAATCCCACACTCCTAATTTATCCCCACTGCCCTTTCTCCTTTGGTAATCACAGGTTTGTTTTCTATGAAAATTGACTGATTTTTTTATTATTGAAAAATAATTTAAAAATAGTTTTCAGGCCAGTATAGTGCAAGTCAAACAAAACATTTGTGGGCTCATTTGGGGTCCTAAATCTTGGCTGCACATTAGGATCACGTGGGGAGCCTTTAAAAGTGCTGATACCAAATCACACTCTGAGTCAATTAAGTCAGCCTGTTGGGAAGCAGGATGAATCATCAGTGTCTTTTTAAAATGTTCCAGGTGATTTCAAAGTCCAGTTAAGGCTGAGAGCTACGAGGCCTGATGACCATCGGTGTGTGACCTCTGATTTCTAAGGGCCTGTTTCAGCAGGAGCTGTGGCTTCCCTATTCTACCCGGGCTTTTTCTAATGTTACTTGGCAGGGGTGCCAGGTGCCCCAGGCAAGGCCTCCACAGGAAGGCATCAAGTGCCCTCCCTTTCGGTTTCTCTTGAGGTCTCCAACTCTGTCATGAAATGTGGGTTTTCATGGTGATGGCAGAAGCAGTTACTGAGAAACTCACGTGTTGTTTCACCTTAAATGGTAGCAAAGGCTTGTTTCATGGTGCACGCTGTCTGATTTAACATCTTGTCCTGGATACAAGGGCTTCCCTGGCGGCTCAGACGGTAAAGAATCCACCTGCAACTGAGATCCAGGTTCAATTCCTGGTTTGGGAAGGTCCCCTGGAGAAGGGAATGGCAACCCACTCCAGTATTCTTGTCTGGAGAATTCATGGACAGAGGAGCCTGGTAGGCTATAGTCCATNTATTTTCAACAATCTATTAGACGCTTTCACCTGTAATGTCTTATAGAAACTGTGGCCTCAAAGTGATCGATCCTGAATTTATTATTATTTTCAATAAATGTGTTACTCTTTCTCTCTCCATTTGCTTTTTTCTAAAGGAATTTGCTGAAAGGACACACAAGAGAAGAACTGATAAACCAGAACTAAGGAGAGGAGCCCAGGACACTTGTGGATTCAGAGCCTCAGATACACATGGACAGCCTTTCAGTACGCTGTCTTTGGATGACTTGTTCACAGCTACCTCCAGGACACATGTGTTTCTGCTCAGATTCAGATTCCTGAGCAAGAGGAACTGATTGGTGTTTCTTTGGTCATGTGCCACCCCTGACTTTAACTCAGGTAGATGGAGCCTGTGGTTGAAAACCCACCAGAATCATATAAAACAGGCTGGGTGCAGTCCTGTGGAGTGCTGTTTCTAGGAGAAGGGGGAGAACTCTAAGGAGCGGGAAAAAGGATTTTATAAAAATCGTCCTCATCTTATTGATTTAAACATTATGCAGGTAGCAAGTGAGCAAATCACTTGTGAAAAACCAAATGATGAAGAGTATAGAATAATACCTTACTTCTTACCTCACTCTCACCCCCAGAGGTAAGTACTATCAATTTATGGTATCTCTTTATAAATTTCTTTTGGTACATTTAGCTATTGTAAATTTATCTGTAAACTTATATGTATATACACAATAATATAACTATTTTAAAATGAATATGATGTACTGCCTTCACTTAATTTATAGGCCTTTACCATTTTAAAAGTTACAGCTCTACTTCATATCTATTCTAACAAGTAATTCATGGTCAAGATTAAGCAGTTCAGAAGTTAATAAAATGAAAAGTAAAAATTTCCTTTCTTCTAATCCACATTTTTGTAAATTCCTAATGCTATTCCCCAGAAGTAACCACTGGCAAGTTTCTTTTATATCAGAAGAAATACTGTAAGGTAAACAAGCAAGCAGGGCCTCCTAGGACTGCTCCCTTTCTGTAGACCAACGTTATAATGTCAATTATCATGTTTATCAGCCCATTTCCATAAATAGAGCAAAACCAATGGTATCAATGGATGGATGATTGCCAAGCTTTTTGTTATGAAATGTAGTATTAAGTTACTGTCAGTAAACTTTCTCCATCTTCTAACTTCCTGACTCCCCAAATGTATCTTTTTCGTGTAACAGGGCCCAGGCCAATTTTTAAATCAACATTTTATAGATATCCTTGCTGCTTATAAATCTGACATAGAAACCAGTGTTCAAAGATCTTCATTCTGCTGGTAGGAAGGAAATAAACTAGAACTGGCTTGTCAAAATGCAGTTAGATAAGTATCTCTCTTTGGATCAGAACATGCAGTATTACATGAACATATCTTAGGGAGAAAGACATTTGCGGTTTTTTCTGTTTGAATTCTGGGGTAATTGTTTGTTCTGATAAAATATTTTACAGATAGAGGGGACGTTGGATTTGACTGCTACAACCTTCTTATACCGTCGACCATTTGGAAACAGCTACATCAGCTGTAAAGGAGGAGCATCAGCTGGTGTGATGGCTGGTAAGCAATTTTGGGAGCGAAAGCTTGTGTTGATTATGGTCAGCTGGGCGCATGAGGCAGGGCAGTTCTTAGCTCTTCACTGAGCTGCACGCAGGACATTCTGGACACACTGTGGCCTGCTGCTCGGATCTTTTTCAGTCTAATGAAAGGAATTCTGAGAATGCAGAGGGATCGCCATCCCCCTAGGTGTGCTAAGAACTCCTTCTGCTTCTTGAGATCCTGAGAAGCAGAAGGAAAGTGGAGAGAAGTGAAAAGTGTAATTATTCTTTTTTTTAAATTTAATTAATCTCTGGGTCTTTAATTGATCGCTGGGTCTTCATTGCTGTGCACAGACTCTCTCTAGTCGTGGCGTGCAGGCGTCTCACTGCAGTGGCTTCTTTTGTTGAGGAGCACAGGCTCTAGAGCACACGGCTTCAGTGGTCACAGCTGGCAGGATCTTTCATTGTGGTATGCAGGCTCTAGAGCACAAGCTCAGGCTTGGTTGCCTCTTGGCGTATAGGATCTCAGTTCCCTGACCAGGGATCAAACCCTCGTTCCCTGCAGGTGGATTCTTAACAACTGCACCAACAGGGAAGTCCAGGAGTATAATTATTCTGTGCTGGCTCTGGGACAGCTAAATACCCTTGCTATGTTCTTGAGGGAATTTGGTTTTCCCTTTTGTGGAAGTTGGGCTCCTCTTGTTACCAACACTAGGTCTTTGATCCTTCACCTCCCTTCCAATCAGACCCTCTCTGTATATGTAGCAAATCCCCACTCATTGGCCCATGATTAAAACATAAGCTCAAAACTGGGCAATGCACACAGTATACACTTGCTTAACCATTTGCTGAATTAACTGAGAAGATTTCAGAGTTAACGGTAGAAACCCTCTACTTGGAGTCAAGCAATTGGGAATTCCTCTTTATTTTGTTTGGTTGCAGCCTGCAGGGCTGGGTGAAAAGGTATTGTGTTTACTTGTAGTAGCTAAAAGTGATGTAGCCAAGGGGTAAAATCAGAACCACAGGTACACAGAACTGACCATCAAACTTAAGGGCAGGATGGAGAGAAATTGGGAGGATAAATGCATATGTCTGTAGCTAGGCATTTGTGATGGGGGATACAATCTGTTGTAAGGAATTGAGAGGGGCGGACAGTCAGGACTCTCTTCTGGTGGGTGTTCTGACTTGGTGGCCTGAGGGAGCCCTGAAGGGCCCATCACTTACATACACCGACTTCTCACAAATTTCTATGGTATGTTTTTTAATAATTCGTAGAATAGATAGAAAATAAGAATACAGAGCCCCTGAACAATACTGTCAACCAGCCAGACCTAATTGACATTTGTAGAACATTCTACCCAACAACAGCAGAATAAACATTCTCAAGTGCACATGGAACATCTACCAAGATGGACCATATTCTGGGCCATGAAACAAGTCTCAATAAATTTGAAAGAATTCATGTCATACAAAGTATGTTCTCTGATCACAGTGGAATTAAATTAGAATTCAACTACAGGAAAATTCTGAAAGTCCTCAAACATTTGCAAACTAAATAATACATTTTAAAGTAGCCTATGGATCAAAGAAGAAATCAAAAGGGAACAGAAAATACTTTGAAATGAATTAGAATGAAGTCACTCCATATCAAAATTTATGGGATGCTACTAAAGCAATATCTAGAAACAAATTTATAGTACCAAGAGTTTATATTAGAAAAAATTTCAAATCAGGGACCTTAGTTTCTACCTTAAGAAACCAAAAGAAGAGCACATTAAACCCAAAGCAAGCAGAAAAAAGAAATTAATATGCGTTTTAAAATTTTTATTTTTTATTGAGATGTAATTGATATGTAACATTTTTGTTTTAGGTATCCAACATAGTTTGACATATATTAATATTGTGAAATAATTACCACTATATGTTGATACCTATTACTCACAGAGTTACCATTTTTTCCCCTTTTGATAGAAGTTTTAAATCTTATTTCTCTGCAACTTTCAGATGTACTGAATAGTATTGTAAACTGTAGTCACCATGCTGCACATTACATCCTCAGATAGTGTGATAGAGTTTATCTTATAACTGGAAGTTTATACCTTTTGACCCCCTCTACCCATTTCACTGATAGCCTGCCCTCACCCCATTTCCCCATCCGCTAGCAACCACCAATCTTTCTTATCTGTGATTTTTTAAAAATACCACATAGGTGAGCTCATACAGTCATTTGTCTTTCTGTATCTGACTTATTTCACTTAGCATAATGCTCTCAGGTTTCATCCACGTTGTTGCAAATGGCAGGGTTTCCTTTTTTATGGCTGAATAATGTTCCTCTGTGTGTGTGCCACATTTCCTGTATCCATTTATCCATCAATGGGTACGTAGGTTGTTTCCACATCTTACAATGATGATGCAATGAATACAACAGTATAGATATCTTGTCAAAATAGTGATTTTTGTTTCCTTTGGATAAAAACCCAGAAATGAAATGGCTGGATCACATAGTAGTTTTATTTTTTATTTTTGAAGAATCTTCATTCTGTTTTCCCTAGTACCTATACCAATTTATATTCACACCACCAGTGTAAAAGCATTCCTTTTTCTCTTTATCCATATTCTCTCATGATCAGAATAATTTTGTTATTCCTATCACAATTTTATTTAAAATTTATGTACTTCAAAATTTTTTTCCTAATTATATAAAGTATATTTTGTTAAGGTGCAAAATAATGATACTGATCAAAACACTTTTATGAAATTCTGAGTCTGTACTAGATCATTGTATCATTTTTTTAATTGGATAAATTTAACATGTTAACATTATATAAATTTAATCATGTTACTTTGATACATTTACATATTATAATATGGTTTCATTGTAATAATATTATTACATACTTATAGTGCAATATTACTATGTTTAGTGTACTGTAATTTAAATCTCTATGGCTATATTAGTACTCATTACAAGTTTGTACCCTTAAACATCCTAAATTTTATCCCACTACCCTCTGATCCCCCGGTGGCTACTGTTTTACTCTCTCTCTTTTTTAAGTATTTTGTTCTTTTTTCACACTCCACATGTATGTGATATTATATAATATGTACTTGTCTTTCTCTGTCTGGCTTATCTCACTTAACAAAATGTGCTCAAGGTCCATCTATATAGTCACAAAAAGCAGGATATCCTTTTTCATGGCTAAATAATACTACATTGTATATACATATCATCATTTTTAATCCATTCATCCACTGATGGGTATTTGGATTGTTTCCATATGTTTCACAATGGGATATTGTAAATAAGGCTGCAATATGCCAGGACGTGGACACATCTCTTGAAATTCCTTAGGGTTTTCATTTCCCTTGGGTATATTCCCAGAAGTGGAATTGCTGGATTGTATGATCTATTTTTAATTTCTTGAGGAACTTCCATCTTGTTTTCCTTAGTGTTTGAACCAATTTACATTCCCATCAACAGTGTATAAGAGTTTCCTTTTCACCACATCTTCCCCAACAATTGTGGTCACTTGTCTTCTTCATGTTAACCATTCTACCAAGTGTGAGGTGATATCTTATAGTTGTTTTGAATTACATTTTTTGATGATAACTGATATTGAACACCTCATGGTGTTCATGGCCATTTTGGCCTGATGGCCATTTTGATGTCCTCTTTGGAAAAATGACTATTTAGTTCTTCTGCCCAACTTTTAAATAAAATAGTTTTATTGTTTGTTATTAAGTTGTGTTCTTTATATATTTTGGATATTAACCCTTACTCAATATATGATTTGCAAAAATTTTCTCCTATTCCGAAGACTGCCTGTTCATTTTGTTAATAGTGTCTTTGCTGTGCAAAGTTTTGCATTTGATGTGGCCCCATTTAATTTTTGCTTTTGATGTTTGTGCTTTTGGTGTCATGTTCAAAAAATCCTCATCAAGAACAGCATCGATGAGCTTCTTCCCTATATTTTCTTCCTGGAGTTTTATGGCATTTGGTCTTATGTTTAAATTTTTGATCCATTTTGAATTCGTTTTTGTGAGTTATATTAGGGGTTCAATTTCATTGTTCTGCATGTTTCTCCAGTTTTTCTAGCACCATTTGTTGAAGAACCTACCCTTTCCCCACTGGGTATTCTTGGCCCCCTTGTTGAACATTATGTGACCATACAGGCCAGGATTAAATTCTGAGCTCTTTATTCTGTTCCATGGGTCTGTCTGGCTACTCTAGTGTCAGTGTATCTTATACTGTTTATTATTATGACTTTGCAGTGTGGTTTGGGGTTTTATTTTTTTTTTTCTCAGCAGTGCTCTTGTTATTCAAGGTCTTTGTGGTTCCACACAATTTAGGATTGTCTCTTCTGTGTCTGTGAAGAATGCCTTTGTTATTTTGATGGGGTTTGTGTTGGAGCTGTAGATGGCTTTGGTAGCATGGCTATTTTAACAATATTAATTCTGCTATCTATGAACAGAGGTTCCATTTTTTATATATCCTCACCAGTATTTATCATCGTTTGTCTTTTTGAGACTAGCCATTCTAAGATATGAGGTGATACTTCATTGTAGTTTTGATTTTCATTTTCCTGATTACTGATATTTGTGCACATTTTCATGTACCTGTTGGCCCTTTGTATATCTTCATAAAAGTATTTATTTGGTTCTTCCATCCATTTTAAAAATCAGATTTTTAAAAATGCAATTATAGAGTTCATTATTTATTTTGGTTATTAATCCCTTAAGTTATGTGATTTGCAAATATCTTCTCACATTCTGTACGTTGCTTTTTCGTACTATTAATGGTTTCCTTTGCTCTGCAGAAGCTTTTCATTTTTATTATTTTAATTGAGATTATGTACATTTAAGGTATAAAAAATGTTGACTTGGTACAATGGTAATTATATTGCAATACATAAGTTTAGCATTAGCTAACACCTTTATTATATCACATAATTATCTTTTCTGTGGTGAATATACTTAAGATCTAGTCTCTTATCAAGTTTGATATCTATAAT